AGGGAAAATTTTCATTATTAGTACACCTTCTGTAGGGTATGCTAGTGCGGCCACACTACGGAGTTTGTTATTCTGTAGTGGTTTTGGATTCCAGCAAAAAGTCTTGACCAGGCATCTTTAAGTCAGTGTTTCTCCACTAACGTGCCATGGAGGACTGCTGTGGCTTCTCACTCGGGCTTGTAAGGTAGTTCCCTTTTGCTACCACTATGATTCTGCCTTTGATACAACAACAGGCAGACAGAAGGTTGAACTGGCCGCAGTGTCTTCCCTGTGGTGACAGGTGCAACTCCATGCACACCAAGAAAGAAGGAAGCAATAAGCATTTGCAAAGAACTTCATCACATGAGTATTGAAGAGTGATGGGCAGTCAGTCTGCACAAAGAGTAACTCAGTGCTGAAGGATGATCAGTATAACCATGTGATTCCTGTACAGGCAACCTCATCCTTTTGAAAGTACTGCCTAAAATACTAGCATTCAAAAGAATGCTATTCTATTAGAGTTACGCTGTGACAAATAAAGCCTCAATCAAAGGGTTCTTTCTCATCATATAATCACGTAATTAGTCCAGTGAGGGTGTTCCTGGCCAGAGGGTGGTTTTCCTCCACTTGGTGATTCAGGGGCCCAGGCGCCTTCTGACTGGCTCTTCTATCCCTACAGCCAAAGGGCAGCATATGAAGAGAAAGAATGTGCAAAAGTCACCACTGAACCGCCATGACCTGCCAGAGACATATCACTTCCTGCCTAATTGTACTAGAGACAGTCAGAGCCTGTGTAGGTGAAGAGTGCTAGGAAACCTACCCCTGCTGAGGAGCCTCTTCCCAGTAACACCTGTACATGGAGGAGAACACACGCTTCCAGTGAACAACTGCCCTCTTCCATGCAGTCCTAAGCCCAGTGAAGTTGTGAAGCACTAGGTAACGGGTTTTGTTGCTATGTTACATGGAGAAGGGGAGAAAAACCAATACTATCTCCTTAGGAGAACAATGTCTCTTGCTCCCAGTATTTTGTACATGGATCATACCATAGACCTGACAGAGAACCCCATTAAGGTTTTTGAAAAAAGGGGGCCTCCCTGGTGGTGCAAGGGGTTAAGACACAAACCATGAAGCTGTCCACAGCAGCAGGAGTTCCATCCCCGGCCAGGGAGCTACCCACATGGTGCAGCAGACCTCTCCTGACTCGCCCGCTGCTCCCCTCAGCAGTGTATTTCAGTCAATCCACTGTTTCCCACTCTGTCTCTGGTGAATCCTCCCACCCCCACACCTCTGGCCTGTATCCCAGGTCTTGTATGCATAAATAAATAAATCCTTTCTTAAAAAGGCTCTGAGTATTATATCTGAGACTTTCCTTTATTGCCCATTTTCACTCCAGAGACCACACTGGCTCAGGCCTCTGTGCCCATTCCCCTGATGTCCATTTGGTCTGCTGCTCACAATATAGCCACCCTTGACCTCCTGCTGCCACACCATCCTTGCTGTTCACTCTAGTTCAGGAGCCGGCCCCTGGTCTGATTGGCTGTCACTAGGGAGAGAGAGCTGGCTCCAGTGCATGCATGTGGTTTACAGGGCACAACCACTTTCTGGAGAAAGAACTGCCTGGGATCACTTCTAGAGAGAGTGGACATCAAATAGTGAAATGCCACATGAAGGCAGGAATAGTGTCCATCCTGCTGGCCATTTTCCCCATCATATCCTCAGGTGCTTTGCACACTGTTTCAGAAACCCAGATCCCTTGCATCTTGTGGTGCTGAAGACACAAACCCTCAGAACCCTCAGAGGCTGGCTGGCAGGCTTCTGAAGAGTGGAAAGAAACTACACTGTCATTGAATAACTTGTTGAAGAAAAAGAGAGCAAGTGAATGAATGAATGAATGAATGAATACTCATGATCTTGACAAATATTTAGTGACATAGAAAATAGTAAAGATAAAACATTTGGGACAAAAATAGAACACATAATGTATAATCAGTGTGATTATAATTTAGGAATCTCACATGGAAAACAAAAAAGACTGAAATTACTAGTTCTTAACAACTTTCAATACTTCCTAGTCTTTCAATAAATATGTACCATCCAACCCACCAAAGAGTTCAATAGCAGTTCTCACAATGACTATCATTTGCCAATTCAGGCTGATGCCTGACAAAAATGGATGGACTCCATTAAAGTTAAAAAAAAAAAAAAAGGCTTCTGAGTTCTTTCTTCCTAAAGTATTATATCTGGGACTTTCTCTTATTGCCCATTTTTTTTCATTAGGCAATTTTTTTATTTGGTGAATGGTGGGAGATCTAGATCCATTAATTCAACCCATTTCTCTTGAATTCCCTTCGGGATCAATTCAATCAGCTCAATAATCTGGGTTCAATTTTTTAAAAAAAAATCACCCCCAAATTATGTTTGTAAATATTTATAGATTACACATTCATAAAAAGATAATAAGATACAACAGTATCTTTGGCTCCTATATCAGAAACATTTGTTGTTGTTGTTAAAGATTTATTTATTTTTACACAAGAACTGGGGTATAGGCCAGAGGAATGGGAAGGTGAGAGGATGCACCAGAGACAAAGCGGGGAGTAGAACAGGTAGACAGGGAGCAGTGGGCGAGACAAGAGAGGTCTGTCCCACCATGTGTGTCTCTCCCTGGCTGGCCAGGAATCAAACCGGAGCCGCAGAGGCTGCAGACAGCTTCACAGCGCTGCGTTCAACCCGCTGCGCACCTGGGGAGGCCCGAAACAATTTTCTTTTGTATATATTGCTATCTTTTCCAAACCTTCTACAATAAGAATGTAACCGCCAACAGGCATACGAAAAAATGTTCAGCATCACTTGTAATCAGGGAAATGCAAATCAAAACTACGAGATACCATCTTACACCAGTGAGAATGGCACATATTAAAAAAACTGCAAACAACAAATGTTGGTGAGGATGTGGAGAAAAAGGAACTCTTCTACACTGCTGGTGGGAGTGCAAACTGGTCCAACCACTATGGAAAGCTGTGTGGAGATTCCTCAACCTACTAAAGATAGAGCTTCCATATGATCCAGCAATTCCACTCCTAGGTATTTACCCAAAGGACACAAAAACATTAATTCAAAAGGATACCTGCACCCCAATGTTTATTGCAGCACCATTTACAATACGTAAGCTATGGAAACAATCCAAACACCCAAAAATAGATGACTGGATCAAGAAGATGTGGTACACATACACCATGGAATATTACTCAGCAATCAACTCGTGCCATTTACAGCAACATGGATGGAGCTGGAAGGGATCATGCTCAGTGAAATAATCCATAAAGAAAAAGAAAAATACTGGATGGTCTCACTCATAGCAGGAATTTAGAAAACCCAAATAAGGGATCAGGAAAAAGACTAATTATAATAAAGTAAAAATCAAAATCAACAGGCAACTATAAACCAGAGACTCACTGGGGGGAGGAGGGGGAAGGGAGTAGGATCAAAACAAGGGTGGTGGGAATTTTACAGGGACTATATAATCAAGATGAAAATGCATACATTGAACAAAAATGAAAAATGATGTAAAAAATATATATATAATTAAAAAGAAAAGTAACCTTTTCTACAATCAGCTTTAAAAGTCTCTGGTGGTGGTATATTTTTAGTCTATTTAATGTTGCCTCCTGCAGGAACTGTTCTGTCACCACTCCCAAGGGCACCTGGAAGGTCCTCCTCAGCCTTCTCATAGTGTCCTCCAGCTGCCGGAGGTTGTTTGCTTCTCCATCTCCCAACAAGACTCCAAGCTCTTTGAGGGAAAGGACTGATTCTGCAATGTCTCTGAATCCCCAGGCCTAGCACTTAGACTAAGCATTTGTAAAGACTTGTGGATCAGATGAAGTCAAAGAAGTATACAATTCAGGTGTCTGCACTCTAAATCCAGATGCATCTTTTCTGAGACTTTAGGAATCCAAGATTTGCTCCAAGGTTGGCCTAACCTGGGGCTGGGAAGAACCTGGGAAGCAAATGGGAAGATTTTGAATAACCACCCCCCTTCCCCCAACCCCAACAGTCAGCATCCGGGTTGTGGAACCCAGTGGGTTTTCCTGGCGAAAGTCAAGATTAGTCATGTGATGCCACTTGGAGGATTCCCCCAGTCTGCTCAGCTCATTCCTTAGGCATCACTCACTTCAGGGATCCTCCCTATGGAACAAAGGAAACCCCGGGACTTGGGACTGGCCTTTTTTCCACCAACAGCTGGTAGTAGTTTGCATTTAAATCTAAACCACAATTAAAATAAGGGTGCTGTGGGGAGAAGGGGTGCTGGGAGTTACACACTGGCTAGGAGAACTTAGGTTCTCTCTAAATTTCTTCCAGAAAGTTCTTCTAAAGGGCTGTGAGGACCATATAGCTCAAAAGGAAGGCTTTGAAAATTAAACATGAAATTTAAACCAATCCCTGGCTCAACAATGGGTGTGTACCGTCCCGGAGCCAGGCGCTTCACAGCACCCTCCTACCCCCACCCTCAAGGGGCCGGCGCCAGCTGGGAACTGGGCTTCTTCGCCAGATGCCGGTGGATCTGGGGGTGCGGGGCAGACCTAGAAGACCCTTAGGACAGTCCTCCAGGAGCCTGATCTGGAAACGATTCAATCTGACGCCTTCACGAACGTTCGGGCTCCTCCTGCCCCTCCCTGCAGTGTCATCTAGAAAGTAATTCCTAGACGTGCAGATTACCGCAGAGTGGCTCACCGTCGGCTCAGAGTCAGGGCGCCGCACCCACGGAACGCCTGGATTCTTTGATTTCCACACTCACTCACTTTCTAAATTCAAACCCGAGGGGAAGGGCTCGGCCGAGGGTGGGGGAAATCTTTGAGAGCCTCTGGGAGTAAGTGAAGTTTACAACAGAGCTCTCGCTGGGGACGGCCGAGGCCCGGCGCGCGGCGCGCGCGCACAGCCACAGAGAGAAGGGTGTGAGCGCCGCACCGGGTGTCTGTGCCGGGGGGAGGAGAAGGGGGTGGGGTGAGCGGAGGCCAAGATCCCCCGCCCAGGCTCCTCCTGCCACGGCCCCCCCTCCACGCGCCCTGCATACTAAGGCGCCCGGTCCTCCGCGCTCCACTCCCTGGCCGAGCTTCCCAGCTACCCGAACGTCCCCCTTGCGCCTCGCCACCAAGGTGAGTTCCGCCCCCGGCTCCCTGGCCCTCCCATCCCCCCGACCCGGCCCCCGGGGGTAACCCCCTCCTCGGTTGTGCTGGCCCCCCCAGCCCGGCTTCCCTGGATGTCCCAGGCACCTTGGGGCCTCGTTGGGGAGTGGCTGCGCCCCCGGCAACACCTAGGCTAGGCGAGCCGCGTCCCTCCTGGACCCTGGCGCGCCCCCAACCCAGATCCTCACGGACGGGCGCAGGGGGCTCTTGTGCTTTGGGTCAGGACCTCGGTGGCGGCGTCCGGTATCCGCTTTCTCCGACTTTTTGGGTCATCTTTCTTTACTCCCACTTTCCTAGTTTCCACTAGTCCCCGAGTTATCCGAACCCTCTCTTGCGGCCCCCACCCTGTCTTGGCCAGCATGTTTCTTTGTGCTGCTGGCTGACCGCTGTCCACATGCTCGTAGCCTCCTCCCGAGCTGGCTGGCGGGCAGACCGGAGAAGCTGGGGAGGGTCGGGGTTGCAGGGGAGGGCTGGGCAGTCCGCAGCTGTGGGATTCCCTTCCTAAAGCACAGTCTTTGGTTCCTCATCCTGACGCTTCAGGTTGGGCTTCCTGTTGTTTGTCTGCTAGACCGCAGGTTCTCACTGCTGAGGGAGGTCTACGTTTTCTTTATAAACCGATTTTGCAAGGGGCCAGGGAGCTATGTGAAGTGATTTCTCTACTTCCCTTCTTTTTAGCTTAAACAAGGGGCCTAATGAGGGATTGTCTCACCCATTAATCTGGCCCAGTGCAATGAACCACACGCTGCTGGCGCCTAGTCACAGTTTGAACTTGGCCAAAGGCATAGCGCTTCCTCCAGCTCTGGACACTGCACTCCCGCCTTAGCCGGCTCCACCTAACTGGTGGTGAGGAACGCAGAGCGGGCTGCAGGCCCGGCACATGGAGTCCTAGGCTGCATCCTGAGATACATTAATTAAGCCCACCCTGCCTCGCTTCCGAGGGCTGCTGGGCGCATTCTGCAGGGCGTGGCTAGCACAGAGGCTCCGGGATTCTGCTAGTGGTGGAGGCCTGTGACTCAGCTGTGAGACCATGTGGGTGTGGCTCTCTAGCTTCAGATCCTCTCTTGCAGATGGCTCGGACAAAACACTATCTAAAGGAAAAGGAGAACTGTGCCATCTTAGAGGGCATTTTCCAACAGGAAGTGAGTCACACCAGAGTTGGCCTGCATTCTGAGGAGGGCTTTCTTGATCAAACCGTGGGTGAGGGCAGCAATTAGATTGGCAGCGCCATGGCCAGACACTGCTATTTGCCTGCTGGCAGGCTGCCCCAGCTTTACTTGGGAGGTAGCTATTCCCGTTAAGAGGTTCGCAGTTGCTGCAGATTTTTTTTTTTCCCCTGCAGCTTGAGTTTCAATCTGCAGCAGTGGATTTTTATATAGTGTGCTTCAGGTGAGACCAGTCCCATGAGACACTCTGTCAGTGTGATCTTTGCCTCCTAGGAGTTTTCAGCAACTTGTTAAAGGCAATACCCAGTCTGGGGCAGGAATGAGTTCATACAGCTCATCTGAAATTTCTTCATCAGCCCTGCCCCCACAGAGTTCTATTTAGTTTTTATTTATTTAACCATCTCTTCTAAATGGTATTACCTTCCTTATAGCCAGAAGCTACTTTATTCATCAGTTAGAGTTTCTCGTTTCAGTTCTTCAGATTTTCTTGAGGGTCTGGTAGGCATAAAGCCTCCTGGTTTAGGGTAATGTTCTCCCTGGATTTTCCCGGATATAACATCAGATGGGCCTTGTCTTCCCATGTCTGGCCAGCCCAGACTTCGGCAGCTGCCCCAACGAGGTCAGGTCTTCGGCTGGGTGGACCTGAGACTGAGTTCCTCCCTGCTTTCCACTGACAGTTCCAAAAATATGTTTTTTTTAGCGTACTACCCATTTGGTATGCCCTTGGACACAATCCAGTCTTTTAAAGTTGAGGGAAACAATAGAATTCTTTCAGGATTATAATGTATAAATTTGCACTTAGCATGCTGAAAAAACTGGACTAATATTTTAAGATCTTTCTTAAGCTTCTCATTTTCCTGGGAACTCAACAATTTAGGAATCTCACATCAGGAACAAAAAAGAATGATTGTACTTATTTTTAACAATTGTCAGCACTTTCTAGCCCTTTACTAAATAACTACCACCCAACCCACCAGTGCAATCGCAGTTCTTCAATGACTGTCATTTGCCAATTCAAGCTGATGCCTGACAACTCTTCAAGGAAAAATGGACCCCATTAAAGAAGAAAAGACTTCTGAGTTCTTTCTTCCAAATGGATTGCATCTAGAACTTTCCTTTGCTGTCCACTTTTACAGTGGGCAAGTTTTATGTTTGGCAAAGGGTGGGAGAGATAGACTGGATCTAGATCCAGTGCCTCAACTATTGTTTTCTGAATTCCCTCTAGGGATCAAATTCAAGAATGCCTTCTGGTTCGATTTAAAACAAAAAATACGTGTTTTTCTTTTCCTCAAAGCAAAAGAAAGGAAACCTCAAACACATTTTAAATAACAGATATTTATTTTTTACTGAGCCTGCCAATTATTTTCTGGGTGGGCTGAGAAAATTGGGGTATACACAAGACACAGGAGAGCAAAATAAATCAGACCTCTGACTCTTTAGAAGTATCTTTTTGAAATCCCTGCCGGGATCTGGGAATAGGTCCAGAGCAAACATATGGAACTGCTCAGGAACACTTTTCTAAGGACACCTCCTGCCTCCCCACAACTCACAGAAGGATCAAAATTTACATTATTGTCCCTTTTTTAAAAAAAAAAAAAGATATATTTTATTTGTGATACAAGAGCTGGGGTGTAGGCCAGAGGTGTGGGGGATGAGAGGATTCACCAGAGACAGAGTAGGGAACAGAACACGTGGATCTACTGAAATGCACTGCTGAGGGGAGCAGCAGGCGAGACAGAAGAGGTCTGCTGTGCCATGTGGGTTAGCTCCCTGGCTGGGGATTGAACTCATGCCTCAGTGGCTGGCAATAGCTTGATAGTGCTGAGACTTAACCCCTTGCACCACCAGGGAGTTCCTTATTTCATTCTTAATGAGTCCATGAACAGTCTCTAGCTCACAATCCCCAGCAGGACACTACATATGGGGAATTCGTTCAAGGAACCCCCAGTTAGAAACAGAATTAGCTAGAGGTCAGGAAATCTATTTAAATAATCTGCACTAGCTAGTGAACCCTAAAAAGGCAAGCACCCGTGGCTTATTCATGTGCACACATGTGTGCCTAACACCATGACCAGGACATGCAAAGTAGGTGTTCAATGTAGGAGACCCCAATATGAAAACCGAATTCCTACCACTGAAGCCTAGAATTTTTCTACACAGAAAAAGCAGAGGAACTTCCAAGTCTCCATTCTTGAAATCTATTGCCTAGGCAAACAAGCATAGGGCATTTACAGACATCAGACTAAAGTGATTTAATAAAAGAATGAGAGAACAGAGCCTCCCTGATGGCGCAAGGGGTTAAGACACAACCTATGAAGCTGTCCGCAGCCACTGCAGCACGAGTTCAATCCCCAGCCAGGGAGCTACCCACATGGCACAGCAGACCTCTCCTGACTCACTCGCTGCTCCCCTCAGCAGTGTATTTCAGTCAGTCTGCCTGTTCGTTCCCCACTCTGTCTCACCCCCAACACCTCTGGCCTGTAACCCAGTTCTTGTATGCATAAATAAATAATTCTTTTAAAGAAAAAATGAGGGGACAATGAGGTAGTTAGAGAGTAGTGAGAGAGCAGAGCCATCCAGAAGTGTGGAGTAGAAAGCAGGGTGAACTAAAACAAGCGTACGGAGAATGAAGTCGTGTCAGGGTCTGGCCAGACCTGTTTAGCAGGACACATGTTCTCCCTCTGTGTTTGGAATGTGTTTGCCTGTAAGCTGTACTGTTCCACTCCTAGGTCACTCTTTCTTAGCCCTTCCCTGCTCACAGCCTGCTGAGCTCTGAGCTACAAGATTTTCAGTCCAAACGTGGGTAGTCACCCGTGCATCTCGGCTCCTGCCGAGGGGATTGTTTGATTTAGTCATTCAGCACTTACTTAATGGTTCATGGATAAAGCAGAATAACACACAGTTCTTAAGCAAGAGAAACTTAAATATAAACTGGAGAGACAGGTACATGATTGAGTGGTTGAGTGTTTCAGGTGCTGCACAGCTGCAGCCCCTAGGCCTCCAGTCACACAGTATCTGCCCATGCACGGGAGTGGAGCTTGTGGAGTGGCCGGGGACAGGTATGTGTGTGTGAAGGACAAATTCAATCCCTAAACTGCTGCTTTAGTGACCAGCGGTCAGCACTATAGGCAGCCCTGCCCAAACGGGAGAGCCTGGCGGGCTGAGTCAGCGGGGAAGTCATTGCGCCCGGAGAAAAGCTACGTGAGTTCAAGGGGGTGGCTCGGGAATTGTTGCTTTATTTTGTGTCAGTCATTTATATGTCTGTATAATGTTGGGGCTACATTTTTACTCCTCCACTTGTATATAATCTTCACTCAACCTCCACCAAACCTCCCCTGCCAGTGCACTATCCCCCCACTTCCTTCTCCCCTACCTGTCAACCTCTCTCCACCGTCCCCTCTGGTAACCAGCAGATTTTTCAGCAACTCTGTTTCTTGGTTATTTACATTCCACAGATAAGTGAAATCATCACAACCTTTCTCTCACTTTCTGACATACTTCATTTGCCATATTCACCTATGTATTCTCAATGAGATATTACTCAGCCATTAAAAAAAGGTGAAATCATGCCTTTTGGGACTATTTTCCAAGAGGACAGTTTGAATCAGCTTTGTCAATATGTCTGCTCACCCAAAACAGAATTACTTGCTTGGAGCCGAGGTCAGTGCCTAGGACCTATGGGCACTGAGGAAGCTGGGGCTTTTCTGCTTTTCAGCACTGTTTTCACCTAAAGCCTTAGTTCTCCTGGCTAGCCCCTGTGCTGCTTTCCTACTGCAGAAGCTCTCCAGGACACATGGGGAGTCAGCTGATGCCGTGTTCACACCCAGTGCTCAATGGCATGTCAGTGGGGCAGGGATGTGACCTCAGAGTGGAAAGTGCCACCCCTTCAGGGAGCATGTGGTGACCTGAGACCTGAGTGTCACTCAGGGAAGACTGGCCTCCAGGCTTAGAGAAGACACTCGAGGGTGGATATTCCTCTGAGGATTTCCTCAACTGACAAATCCTCCATTGGCCTATTTCCCTATATTAGGGGGCCTTACCCTGCTGCGTGCCCTTCTCTGGCTCTGCAGCATAATTTCCTTCTGCTCTGGCCTGTGAAGAAAGTGAAGTCGGTGTTCCACAGCCGGTTCCAAGTTCTGGGATCTTTGGGTCTTGGTCATGGAGTGCTGTCCCCCCCCCCCCCCGCCCCACCTGAGCTTAGGCACAAGTATTTCTAAACCCCTGTGGCTGCTGACTCCTGAGTTATTTCAGAACTGGGGTGAAACCCCACGTCCTTCTCCCAGAGGTGATTCATTCGCTTCTGTTCTCTTAAGTTGCTGGATTTCCAGAACCAAAGCTGGGAAGTCACACCCCATAGAAGCCATGACCATCTGCATCTGTATGAAGGATGGGGATGAGATCCTGCGGGAAGAGAGGGGATGGGTGTGGCTGCCCTGGAATTCCTCTCGGAGTGGACCGTGTGTTGTTAATTTGCTGCTCTCCAAGAGAACCGTCTTCCAGATGAATCATGCCAGACTCCGGCTTATAGCATTCTCTTGAGTAGTAGTCTTTGGCAGGCTGCTTCCTGCATTTTTCTGGGGATTAAGTAAGACTTAAGGCTGAAGGACCCAAGTAGAATTTACAATTGTTAGGTGTAATTACTCAGTCATTGGGTTCACCAACTCCACCTTCTTGTCTGTTGAATACACATCTGTCAGTAGCAGGAAGCGGACCAAAAGCTGTCTTGGGTTCTGATCTGCACTCTTCACAGGGGAAGGTGCCAGCCCCTCCATACACCCGTGCTTACAACCCATTCTTGTGATTTTGGAGGGGGGACTGGAATATGACAGTCTCCATTCAGGTTCACCTGTTTTCTTTCCAGTAGTGCTTTTCAGGTGAAGTCAGAACTACTCTGTTCAGGCTAAAGCATGCCTTCCAACTAGCCAAAATCCACTGAGCTCCTATTCAGCACAGGCATTGGGTCTTGATGAGTCTTACCGCCATCATCACACCTGCATCTGCTGATCTGATGTATTTCCTTTCTTCTAAATGCTTCATGATATTCTCTGGGGAGTAGAGAGGCAGGAACACAATGTCTAGGGTCCAACCTGCTGTGGCACATCAGTGTTGTCCCCTCTTGGTCCAAAAAAAAACAGGGTCTCACCCGCAAGTACAGGCTGAGTGCCTGGAGAAGTGCTGGGTGATCCAACACTTCGAGTTCAGGAGCTGATGCTCATCTACCCTATCACCTGGTGCTGGGGGGCTGAGCAGCCAGCCATCCAGGCCGCCTTCCCTCACCCCAGCCCTCTCCACCCCTTCCTCTGTCCTTTCTTTTTGATGAGAGGCTGTTTAGTGGGGTGGGTGGTGAGCGTAGGGTTGAGGGAGTCTCAGGCATAAGGCTGAAGGAAGCAAGCGGGGGAGCAGTGACAAAAATGTGGCCAGTTTCCTGGTTTCCCCCTGGTAGGTGGGTCCAGATAGCTGGGCTGCTGTGCTCTGTGGAGAGGGGTGTTCCCAACACTCCCTTCCTGTGTCCCATTCCCTTCCTGGGGGTTGTGGGGAGGGGAGCACTTGTTTCTTGCAGTGGCATCAGTCCCCAAGCTCTGTTCGGGTGGTTGTTCTGAGGCCTGTGGTCCAGCAGGGAGACACTTCGACTGGGCTGGTGGGTCACCTTCCCAGCTTCTCCTCCCCCAGCCACCCCCTGGGCCAGTCCCTCATCTTGGCTTTTGTGTTCTCTTTTGGCATTGCTGGATTTCCTGGCCAGAGCCACACCTGTCCTCCTCCCAAGGGTATCCTCAGGAAGCTGCCCTTTGTATAGGTACTGGGCTCCTAGAAGGGTCTTGAAGGGCTGGCTCATGGCCCATTGGGTGAGGTCAGAGTGTTCTTGGCCAGGGGGTGTCAGAGACTCAGCCAGGGCTTGGGGCCAGTTATGGGCATACAGCACCTGAATCCTCTGTTGGCCTCATCCTGCACTGTGTTCAAGCTCCCTGCTGCCTCTCCAAGGTCTCTCTGGAGCTGCAGGAGGGTTCAGAGAGCAGCAGCCCATTCCCTCATCCTCCTATCTCCTGAAGTCATCTTAGTTTTCTGGGATGAGGTAGGGGCACCCCAAGCCCATGGTTTGGCTTTGAACATGCCCCCACTCTTGGAGTGGGGGAGGTGGCAACATCACTTCTCCAGTTTTCTTGTAGCATCGTTCTCAGGCCTGACTGTTGCAGGCTTTCCCCTGCCCAAGCCCAGGCCTGCCCTTCACCACCACCTCTGCCCTATGTCTGGGTCCACATGCTCTTTGGGAAGGGGGAGACCCAAGAAGCATAATACAATACAAGGGCTTGGCCCTTAAGTCTGGGCTGAGGTTGGGGTAGGAGCCACCAGAATCACAGCAGAGGCCCAGTGCCCGCTTCCCTCTCAGGCAGGGTCCAGACCACTGCCTTCCTGTATCCTCCTGCCCTGCGCCCCTCGGGCCCCCAGCTCCTTGCACCTTCATTGCTGTTTGAGTTAAAACCTCTTTTCCACACCTCTCAAAATATAAACTCTTCATGATGAAAAGCCCTTGCTCTCCTACTGCCCCCCAGACTGTGTCTAGCGCTGCTAAAAGCACATTAGGTCCCTGGAGGAGTTCTATACTGTGACTTGTTCCTTCTCGAGGAACTAGATAGTGGGCTCTGGGTAGCTTTTATTTGGGTCAGTCAGCTGCATTTTACTACCAGAGATGCAATTATGTTTGTTGCAATCAACAAGAAGTTCAGAACTCTAGAGAAGAATGCCCACCCAGCTGACAAAATTGATTTGTAAGCAGATTTCTAAACCCTAGAATTAGACTGAACTATGTTACCTGCTTATGCTTAGAGGGTTAGAGTTTTCATATAAATCAGGCTTGACTTTCATATAAATCAGACTTGACTCTGATACAGCCATGTCTCAGAGCCCCAGGACCAGCACCAAAAGACAAAAAATCTGTTCTTTAGAAGATGTTGTGTAAGTTAAAAAGAGGGACAGATTTTGCTTCCCCAAATGATTAGAATTTTCATTCCTCACTAGGTGACTTATGCAGAATTAGCAGGCAATCAGATAACTCGCTAGTGAGTGAGAGGACCTGAGTGCCTGTTTCCATCAGCAGGAGGCCAAAACTTGGGGTCAACTGGTTCTTAGACTCACTGAATTTTACAGCTAGAAAGGAGCAATGGCTAATCTATTCACCCTCCTCCCACTTATCATCAGAAGATAACCTGTGGACACTGCATGTGGCTTGAAAGTTAAACTACACTCTTTCTTTGCCTCCTTTAATAGGTTTCAAAAGACCTCATCAAAATGCCATCTCAAATGGAACATGCCATGGAAACAATGATGTTCACCTTTCACAAATTTGCTGGGGATAAAGGCTACTTAACGAAGGAGGACCTGCGAGTACTCATGGAAAAGGAGTTCCCTGGATTTTTGGAAGTAAGTGTTGAAAGGCTTAGAAAGAACCAGACAGAAAAATCAGTGCTTCTAGACCCTGGTTCCTTGCCCTTGCTCTTCCCAGCCTTTCCTAGGGAGGCCACTACAAGAAAGGTGTTCTCATCCACTTCTTTGTCAAACATGATTGAGTGCTGATTGCTTGTAAGACATTATAGAGGAAACAGAAGGTAAAGACACAGCCCCTGCTCTTGAGAGCTTATGATTTGTAGGCAAAATAAGACAACACACAAATAACCACAAGACAGGGAGTTTGTTAGAACGAATCCATCTGGGGCCTCCCTGGTGGCACAGGTGGTTGAGCGCTGCACTGTGAAGCTGTCCGCAGCCTCTGCAGCACAAGTTCAATCCCGGCCAGCCGGTGAGAATCTCACATGGCACAGCAGACCTCTCCTGTCTCACCCGCTGCTCCCCTCAGCAGTGTATTTCATCAGTCTGCCTGTTCTGCTCCCCACTCTGTTTCTGGTGAGTCCTTTCACTCCCCCCCTGCCCACCTCTGGCCTGTACCCTGGTTCTTGTATAAATAAATAAGTCTTTAAAAAAAAAAAAAGAAAAAGATTGCATCTGGAGTCATCTGTGCCTACGGGGACAGTTACAGGAACAAAGGCCTCTCACCTGAGAGCATGAACCAGGGAATGGCTGCTGTCAGCTCATAATAAACCAGGTGTGGAGATCCACATCCTGCTTGCATCTGCTCTGAGCAACTTGAATCTCCTCCTGTCCCTTCATATTAAGGCTTTAAACTCATTTTTCTAACTCGAGCCTTTAAAGGAATGGTCTATCTGATGACAGCCCGGCATCACTCCAGAAACTGATGCTTCCCACATTAAAATGTTCTGAGAACTGAGCACAACTTGGGTTGATGCCTCCCTGTGGACACTGAGAGATAGTGATGACTGAAAGAGGCTCTGCCATCAGCTAAACACATCGCAGGACCTTAGGTCACAAGGCATCCTTGTCCTTCCACTCTGTAGGCCTGCGAGAGATGGCTGCTGCCTTGAACTGAAGTGAAACTTTGCTTGACTAAATACGAGGTTGAAATCAAGCCCATCTTTCCCTGCCACAATTGTAGTCACTTGAAAGAACTGCTTCTGAAGTCACCTGTGTCCACTGGTGTGGAGTAATGCATCAGCCTCTTATAGGTGAAGGGAGGTGATGGCAGAGGCTGGGGGTCCTGCCTGCTCAACGGCACATCAATCAAGCCCCCAGTTCTCATTCAGTCAGTGCAGGGTTTTGTAATACGCAAAACAGGGGTGTTACCTGGTCATTGATACCAGTTAAACAAACAGATATAAAGAGCGTAGCCAGTGTCTCAGAATTGAAATCACCCAATGCTATCCCAGAATGAGTTAGGATGTGCTGCTCCTTTGCTTTCCTGCTGCCCTGTGATATAATGCCAGAGCAGGGGTTAGGAGGTCTGGCTTGGCCCCGCTAACTCTGGGCAGGGTGCTTCAGCTTGCTGGGCCTCATTTACCCCCTCTGTAAAATGAGAGGGCCCTACCTGGTTACCTCCCAAGTCACTTTCACTTTCTGGTATCCTTCCAGGCAAGGACAGAAGGTAAGGACATAATGTGCTGATTGTAAGCCTGCCAGTCACGGAACAATGGTGTTCTTAGTACTACACATGTTAATCATGTCACTGAAGAAGTCAGAAGCCAGGATGGATGTCACATGAGACCAGACCCTTCCTCACTGAAGGCTTTGTGGCATGAGGAAAATAAAGGGTGTCTATAGCATGCAGTGCTGAACCCACAGTGTAATTTATTCCAGGCCTGAGCTCATCATTCCAGACAACACCCACTCGCTGCACTGACAGAGTATTTTGTTGCCCAAGTTGACCCTGTATATCCTCAAATTTCACTTGTTTTGACCACAGCCAGGAAGCTGGGGGTGAGGCCAGGATTAACTGAGACCCACCCAAAGTAAGGGACCTGCAAAGAACAGGCAATAGTTGATAACTAAGATATTTGGGAAATGCTGCTGCTTTACCTGGAGGGATGTTTGAGTGCAGTTTGCAAATACACAGCATGCTTGAGACCCAGTGTCAATTTCCTCACGGTGTGCAATCAATGGATTCATAAATTCCTTGCCTGAGCCCTTTAAAACCTCCAGGGAGGGCCTCCTCGGTGGCGCAGCGGTTGAGCGCTGGGTTGCGAAGCTGCCCGCAGCCTCTGCAGCGCCGGTTCGATCCCCGGCTGCTCCCCGGCCACCAGAGGAGGGTCCCACATGGTGTGCAGACCTCTCCTGCTGCCCGCTGCTCCCCTCAGCAGTGTGCTTCGGTCCTTCTGCCTGCTCTGCTCCCCGCTCTGGCTCTGGTGAATTCTCTCACCCTCCCGTGCTTCTGACTATACCCAGTGCATGTATAAACAAAAAAAAAAAAAAAACAAACAAACAAACAAACAAATAAATAAAACATGCCTCTATTAAAAAAATAAATAAAAAAAAAAAAAAAATAAAATAAAACCTCCAGGGACCATCAGTTCTCTGATTGATGGCATGGGTTCCCCAGGAGAAACCACACTTTACTGCTTCTAACCATCACTCAAAAAAAGAGTGATCAATCTAATCACCATGGAAGATGAAAAAAAAAAAAAAAAAGCCAAAGGGATTAGGGCATTAGGTCATGAGGAGTTTATGCCTCCATTATATATTTTCCTAATTAACCTTGTCCAATGGAAAACATCCAGTGAAGAGTATAAGATGGCATAGATTTACCAACTCACTAAGAACAGGAGCAATCTCGGAGACTAGTCCCACCTCCTCAATTCATACTTGATACACACGAAGGCCCACTACGCTGTGGGCCACGTGGCTAATGTGACATGAAGCCACACTAGCATGACCTCGGCTGTGCCAAAAAGTGAGGAGACATGAGGGCCCTCTGTCCATCCTCTCCCAACCTAACACACTCTGGGTATCATTAGCCCTTCTTTAAAATCAGAGGACAAAGATCTAAAACTGACTCCCTATATAATCTTGCTATTTTTTTCATAATTTTTCTTTTTTGAAAAATTGACTATGCGCCAGGAATTAAAGTTTGATGAGAGAATAACTACAAATATATTTCTCTTTGATAAGAGAAAAACTACAAAGTGGGGGGCCTGGTGGCCCAGGGGTTAAGTTTTCAGCACTATCACCACTGTGGCCTAAGTTCATCCCCAGCAAGGGAGCTAACCCACATGCACAGCAGACCTCTCCTGTCTCTCCTGCTGCTCCCCTCAGCAGTGCATTTCAGTAGATCCACCTGTTCTGCTCCCCACTCTGTCTCTGGTGAATCCTCTTACCCCCCCCCCATACCTCTGGCCTACACCCCAGCTCTTCTACATATATACACAAAAAAACAACACTACAAAGTAGGGGACTTTTGGATGGTTGTTAGGTAGAATCTCATGATTTTGAAAACTATGGGAGCAGCTGAACTGTAAGCAAAGCAGGTCAGAAATCAAGCTGGTGGATCAGCGGCCAGCGTGGTGGGCTAAGAATCAAGACGCCTGGAGCTGGCTCTCTCACTGGCCTCCTCTTCCCAGAAACAGGACTTTCCTAAGGCCCCCATAGTTAAATGAAAGAATGCCATAAAAATTTCTTTATTAGCTTAAAATAAATAAGAACTTGCTGAGTTTCTCCTTCAAGGCAAAAAAAAAAAAAAAAAAAAAAACCCTACATTTTGGTGACCCCCCCCAAAGATCACTTATGACCTAAAACAAGGGTTCAGAGAATTGAGAAATCAGATATATGGTTGTCAGCAGTACAAATCAAAAAAGCTTATCATTAATGGGTATTTCTTGCTTTTGTTCTTTTTTTTTTTTTTTTTTCCCCAGAATCAAAAAGACCCCCTGGCTGTGGACAAAATAATGAAGGACCTGGACCAGTGCCGAGATGGCAAAGTGGGCTTCCAGAGCTTCTTCTCCCTGATTGCGGGGCTCACCATTGCCTGCAACGACTATTTTGTAGTACACATGAAGCAGAAGGGAAAGAAGTAGGCGGCCAGGACGGGTACCCCTGCCCCGTGAGAGTCATATCCAAGGGTCCCTTAAGGAATCTGCCCCACGGCTTCCCCTTGATAAGGATTTCATGAGCAAACTGGGACCCTTAGAAAATGTACAGATCAAATCCAACCCCCATTGGCCACAAAAGAAAGAAAAGTTAATGCAAGCCAGATAAGCTCTTGGTTTTATATTGCTTGCCTCCTCTTGCCCTCAATAAAAAAAATTCCTTTTTTAGTTACGGATTTGTGATAGAATGTTTGTTCCTTCTTCCAAAATGCTGTTCCCTGCTTCATTTCAGAAGAACTTGCAAGCCTTGGGCACCAGTGCATGGCCAGAGCTCCCTCCACAGACCAGGCAAAGTAGGAAAGCACTCTCCATTCAGGCCAGGTCCTGACTTCTCTCACTGATATGCCCTTGTAGTTGCATCTAACTGAAGAACCAAAACTCCAAGGATTAAGAGAAGGCACATCAGGAATATGTTCTAGTTTTATCATTACTGAGCATACTCTAGCCCAGTTAAGCCAGTGCCTTTCCATCCAGCACTTTGGATGTCTGAGCTGTCTGAGTCCCTTTTTCATAGCAAAGTTTCAGCAAACTCTAAGGTAAAGATAAGTGCATAAGAGAATTAATTGAAAAAGGGAGAGAGTCTAGTATAATGCCTCAGTAGCAACATCACATTAGCATTTATTTAGTTATGGAATGTCATCACTGTATTACACTGACAAGAAATGGACTATCATGACTTAAATAATGGGGCAATATGAAGTGCCAGTACTGATGTCTTGATATATAGCAAAATGTTTTTCCCAGCTCTTTTCTGTGCTTGTTACAGGTCTCAAAATAAATGCATTGCATGCTGTATACTTATGAATAACAAGATGTTTTATGGAGAGATGGTGCATGAATTGAAACATGAAATTGTTGCAATTGAATAGGTCAAGGAAGATGACCTATTTCTATGATCGGACAAATCTACATAACTGGGGAAAAGTTCAATATAAGATCATCCCACCATCACAAGGAAAAGCATGCAAACAGCAACAGGATAGTCCAGAACAGGTCTAGAAAGCAATTGTTACTATAGAAAATATGTGATAAAAACCAGTCAAAAATAAAATTCCAACCATTTAGTTTTATTTTGGCCAACAAATGAACAAGGTAAGGCAACTCATAACTTTGCAACTCTAGGGTTACATCAGTAAATTTACAAAGAGGGATTTATTACAAGATGCTAAATGGAGGAGGGGAGTTGGCTAGCTAAAGAAACCGACTCTGGGAATGACTCCCAAGCCCAGGCCGTTGAACTGGAAAAACATAACTGCAGCTGGCAGCTCCAGAAACATAGACCCTGTGGCCTAGTTCACGGAGGCAAGAACGCTTGCCCGTTGCCTTTCCCCTCACCACACAGCCATCCAAGTCTCAAGGAAGTACGTCTAGTTAGCAGAACCTCAAACCCATCAAAACCCCAACTGCAAGAGTCTGGGAAATAAAATTTTAATGTTTTCCAACCTCTGTACACTAGTTGTTAGCATGCTGATTCTGCCACCACGATGACTCGCACTCTAAGGGAAGTCTAATGACCTACAGGTTAAAGAAACGCGGCTTAAAGAAAAGGAGACTAAAAGACAACCTCAGGGATTAGTACACCCTCACAGATAAACCACCTCTCTGCCCACGAGATCATGGATCGGGCCAGATTTACTCCTTTAGTCTACACCACCTGCCTCCTGGGCCATTGTGTCTATGGGTGTCATGAAGTTGTGTCACTGTGCAAATAGGCAAGAGAAATCGTAATGTAGATTTATTATTGGGCCCAGATGTCCACAAATCCATAGCAAGCCTTTATACCTTAAGCCTCTGCACATGGGGACAAGGGGTGCATGAGAGGAAGTATCAGTTCATCTTCACAGTGGGTATGTAGACTCAAAAACAATTCTAACACTGTTTATCCCAGATTACCTCAGACTCTGGCGCGCGCGTGTGTGTGTGTGTGTGTGTGTGTGTGTGTGTGTGTGGACTTGGGTGGGGAGGGAGAGAATGATGCACTTTCCTCACTTTAGCTCAAAGTCTTTAGTAGGGATCTAGGACAAGGAAAATAAGAAAGGCGTTTATGGCTTGAAATACTACATGACTCCCCATGCCAACAAAAGCACATGGATTCCACAATCTGACCTGTTGAAACAGCCAGCTAGGCTTCAGGGCTGCAGCCTAACAGTTCCCAGAGGGCAAAGCTGCAGTTATGCCAACAGCCATCAAAAAGAGCCATCTGGAAAATTCCACTTAGTCTGCTACATAGCTGAGTTGTAAAGGCAGTTCCTGCATCCCTCCACAGCCAGCTATGAAAGAGGACAGGACAGCAGTGCAGAAAGTCAGTTTCAAATGTGCTGCAGATACAGAACATGAAGAACACCTCGTTTTCTCTATGTGACCCACTCCTGTTTCCAAGTGCCCTGAACAGGAGCCAATTACCTGTGATTTTATATTTCTCTGCCCAACTCATCTCAGCAGGACACAAAGAGCCAGCCTATAAACCTCAATTTGACCTACTTGAAAGTGATTGTTCAAGCCCCTCCTCCAGCTCTTACTTCTAGAGTGACAGGTGTGAAGAGAGATACATTTATTTGGCAAACGTAAACAAGGGCTGCTGTGAGTGGCACCAAGAAAAGTCCTGTGGTGGAGATAAAGAAGCAGATGCCACAGTGCCGGCCCACTCAAGGAGATTACAAACTAGTTGAAAGGTGATAGGTAAAGCAGACAAAAATTTCAGTGACAACAGAACCTTTTCAAGGGAAGATGTGACAGGCACCTTTGGGCACTGTTGACAGGAATATAATTTACACAACCTTTCTGAAGGCAAAAGTGAGCAATATGTACCACAATCCTTTAACATGTTTTCTTTTAGCAAATACTTTTACTCCTAGGAAATTGAACGTACTTATAATGATCGCTTATAAAGACATTTGATGTTGCACTATTTAGAATAGTTAGGACCTGAATACGATCAGGTGGTCTAACAACAGGGCACGGTTACTAAGCAGAAAGGTCTGTGGGCTATGCTGCACCCATAAAGACAATGACTGAAGAATCTTACATGAGATGGGGAATGTCTATAAAGTAAGGCCAGTTGCAAAACTGGTATATAATGGAATTCCCTTCTTTTTAAAATATATGTGTCTGCACATGAACATGGAAAAAAAACAAAAGACAGCAGTGTGTTTTAGTTTCCAAAGTAAGCGTTACTGACTGGGGAAATTGGTGTCTCCAGAAACAAGTTTATTTATTTTTTGAGATGTTTTTTAAAGATTTCTTTCTTTCTTTGTGCATAGAAGAACTGGGGTGTAGGCCAGAGGCGGGGAGTGAGAGGATTCACCAGAGACAGAGTGAGGAGCAGAACAGGCAGACTGACTGAAATACACTGCTGAGGGGAGCAGCGGGGAAGACAGGAGAGGTCTGCTGTGCCATGTGTGTAGCTTCCTGGCCATTATCGAACTCAGGCCATAGCGGTGATAGTGCTAAGACTTAACCCCTAGGCCACCAGGGAGGCCCCAGAAAGAAGTTTATGGAGTTATTTTAATTTTTCATACACCTATGTTATCTAAATTTTCTATAATGATTCTACTTTATGATCTGAAAAACAACACACTAATGAATGGTTTTTAAAAGAACATGTGTGTTGATTGAAGGTCTACCATGAATCAGGATCTATAGAAATACTTTTTTTTTAACTTATTTTTTGAAGATCTATTTATACAAGAACCGGGGTACAGACCAGATGTGTGGGAGAGTGAGAGGATTCGCCAGAGACAGAGTGGGGAACAGAACAGGCAGACTGACAAAATACACAGCTAAGGGGAGCAGCAGGCGAGACAGGAGAGGTCTGCCATGCCATGTGGGATTCTCGCCAGCCGGCCGGGATCGAACCCGTGCTGCAGAAGCTACGGACAGCTTCACAGTGCTGCATTCAACTGCTGTGCCACCAGGGAGGCCTGTAGGAAATAATTCCTAAGTAATATCTTATTTAGCCCTTGCAATAATCCTGTTAGGTGTATTAATGTCCATTTTACAAATGATAAAACTAAAACTCCAGTAACTCCCTCAAATTCTACGGTAAGTGGCAGTGTTATAATCTGACCTCAGATATTGTTTCTTTCTAATCTGAGGCTGTGTCAAGGTGCTAGTTGAGTAAATTTAGCATCAGACATAATACAGTTTCAAAAGGCAATGAAGTAAGTCATTGTGGGCTGGGCAAGTCTAGTCAGAGAAGATTTTAGGTAAGTTGTTGTCTGGTCCTTGAAGATGAGAAGAAATTTGGACAAAAGGTGATATTCATTGCAGTCCTGCTATAGGCCAGGTTCTATTCTAGTGCTATACAAGTTTTAACTTATATGCCACACACACACACACACACACACACACACCCCAACAACCTATGAGCTGGTGCTATTACTATTCCCATTCTACAGGCAATTTGACAGAAACACAGAACTAATAAGTGGTGAAGGCAGGATTTGAACCCAGACCATCTAAGATTTAAACCATTCTTCCCTGCTGCCTCCTGGGACATGGTAATGATGGCACAAAGGACTAGCCAGGACACAGCGTACCCAGGAAGCCATGCTGAGTCCAGCAAGCTAGAGTAGCATGTGCTCACGTGAGACAGGCCATGGGACCAAAAGGTACCCTTCAGTGTGCAAGTGACCCCTGGGAAATAGCACATGCTGTGTGAAGTGTGGTACAGGAGGTCACAGGATTAAGAACTCTACAAGCTCAGATTTGGTTATTTCTACTCCTTTGGGAGATAGAGACAACCCTCTCCTCCAAGGGAGCTAATCACCAGAAAACAAGTTCTTGTAAATGTTGCTCCCGCTTTCCCCTGGCACTCACATTCCAATCACATTCTGGCTTACAAAAGATAAAGCAGCTTCAGATTCGTACTTACCTAAGTGGACTGGGACCAGTGAAGGAAAAAATGAACCTCTGAAAAATCACGAAAAAACCAAGAGGGAGAAAATCGAGATGGTAGGGTCACAGGGTGTAGGCAAGAAAGACGCCTCTACAGACTCGAATTCTTTTCCTTTCCAACCAAGAGTCCCACTTATCTACACCACGGTATGTTCACTCCAACTGCAGCTGCCCTATATTTTTTTAAATGTATGTGTAAGGCAACCAACCCATTCCGGGCAGGTTTATGAACGGTTCTAGCAGCCACATGCTCTTCGCGTTGTTTGTAGTCACCC